AGGACGTCCCGCGACGGAAAGATGACCTGGGGGCTATCCTGGATGCGCAGCAACTTTGTACAACCGTTGCTGAAAAATGACAGTGATTCAGCGTGTCAAAACAAGACGGCTGTCTTTGGCAAACCGAACTAGAGGTAAATTTAGCCTCGGTAACTTGTTCGGTAATGAGCTAATCATAATGAGCTGACTGGTCACCATCACCTGGGCATCCAAAGCTGTTCGTTGTTACCGCGCAAAAAAGCACAAAAATCGGTGTTGGTAGTGTTAGGAGATTTGGGATTATTGTGGAGATTTCGTCCTGTAAGTGAAACCAATCTAGGCTGCAATGTCGAGGAGCACTGTACAGCATAGATTGGCTTCATGTACAGGACAAAACGTCTACACAAGTCAGTCACCAAAAGAAGTTTTTGTCGCAGATTTAACACAGTCATGTGAACAGACTTCTGCGTTATTTCTTGGGCAACGGACGGTGTCCTCGGGTGTTCCCTCAATTTTTCTCTCCCCATAAAGGCGAAGCCTTCCAGCCGAGGGTCACACGACAGTGCCAGTGCTGATCTGTCAGAAGGCGATATCTCATTTGTCTACAGTTTTTCTGGGCGTAATGCGTGCTAGATTCTTACAAGGGGACTTTTTTATTTGTCCACTAAATCGACAGTGGATTTATTTTTTAGATGACTGGGAAATACTTTTAGGTTGGTGCATAAGGTGTATGAAGCTTACGAGTGTTTTGTTGGCTTAAACCAGTTGGGTATCGAGAACAGGCAGTGTCTTCAGGGTATATCGAGGCTTTGATTTTTTAGGGCCAAAACAAAGTACCGAAAGACCCCCGTTGTATGGTTTGTGCAATCAGTAGTATGCATCCATCGGTACTTTGTACTTCTGCATTTTCAATGAAAGAGCGATTCGGGATGAAACCACTTCAGTTCAGTGGTGTTTATACCGAAAGTGAAGCTGTGACGACACAAGGTCAAATATGAACTCGCCTGTGGTCCACTCTGGTGTTTGCGTAACAAGAATTTGTCGACATCAATCCTGTAGGATCCATCACTTTCCTGAGTGCTTGCGGGAGCCAGCTTCGCTTGCTCACTTGTAAGGGCTAAATTCATAACCATTATTGAGTCACCACCGTGATTTGGCTATCTAACCACCCTGTTCTCTCTGCAGGTACTTAGCCTTTCCCTCCAACTGAAAATCAGACTCTCGCTTGTTGATCCCGCAAAGCTAGGCTGGCTTTTTGGTGATATCCTTTTGGCGATGGGACTCGAGTTGCGTAATTGTCTTTTCCGTTGCCTCAATGATGTAATTACCAGTAAGGTAACTACACTTGAATTATTTGGCCCTCAGGTCAAAATTCAATATAACAGTACACAGATGGCATAACACACGTACGAGTGTCATTTACAAGCAAGTATCGCACTGGTAAAGGACATACAGTTCCGATCCTAGTAGCTACGTTTTAATTAAGAACCAACACGTCCAGACTTTCATCATCACCATCATTATCATCGTCATCATCATCATCATCATTATCATCATCATCATCATCATCAACAACATCAAAAACAACAGCATGACATCAGTATTCAACACTGATGCTTCGCTGCCGTGCAACCATCGTTTAGTTGAAAGTCTCATTATAAAGAAAAGAATAAATGTGGACTGGTATGAGATTTAGTGCTGAATTACTGCAATCTTCCGAGGTGACCACATCACCAGACACTCATTCAGGCAATCTGGATAGAAACTGAAAACAAGTACACCATGGACCAGGATTAGGAGTCATGTCTTTCAGCATCTCCAACCAACCGAAGTGGATACCTCGCGGTCTACATCCCGGAAGGCGAGTAGCATCAACGGCACCTAGACGCTTCGTTTTCTCTTCCATACCCATCTGCCAGCTCAACAGTTGGCCACCTGTCTGTTTCTGCCACTCTCAAATGAGCACGGAAAATAGCGCTTTTTGGCAAACGATGGTTCGGCATGCACAACACATGTCCCAACCAACGCATCTTCTGGTGCTGCACACATTCTTCAATGGAAGTACCTGTTGCACAATCAAAAAACGCGCTTTCTAACTGACTCATTATGGATTCACTGACACCAACACGCACGACTTATGGGTCTGAGACAACGATTGTCGAAAACATTAAAACGTCCCAGTTTCGCCGCTCGAATAGGCCAAGTCTCACAGCCATACAACAGAGTAGTCCGTACGGTAGCCTGATACACGCATCCCTTGAGATTCGAAGATATATGGCTTTGGCGCCATAAGTGTCTCGAACTAGAAAACGCGACCCGAACCTGGGAGATTCGTGCTTTGACTCCACCTGTCACAATACAGTCGGAACTAATACAACTTCCGCAGTACTTAAAACACTCGACAACTCCGAGAGCCTTTCCCTGGATTGTGAGTGGCTTGTTTACTGATTGCATGTCCACGAGAATAACCTTACACTTTGTGGGTGCAAGGTACATAACAACGAACGCGAGCCTTCTTTTCTTCAAAGACGGTAACGATATCGTCTGCATACTACAGATCGAGCAGTTTTTCGTCAGAGGCTATTTGAACATTGGGGCTTCGAAGACTTTCCAGTGGTTGTTTGGTTATCTCACCGATCACAAAATTAAATAAGAATGGGGGGATTGGGCATCCCTGATGGATACTGACTTGTGTACAAAAGCCATTCATGTACTCTCGCACGTCCAGGAGTCTAAGAATAAAAGAATATATCATGTTCACAGAATAGTTAAAAAACCTCCTTCAAATTGGCGGCCCCCAGCTAGGTTGGTGGCTTTATAGGAATCCTCGGCGGCAGAAAATTCCTTAAGATCTCTTCTGATTTCCTATTCGTTATAGCTATTTACGATGGAATCTCCAGTTTCTGGGATGGAATTGGAAGATAACCCCTTGAAGGAACCAGGACGTCTCGCCTCCGCAGGATAAGCCGGTGCGCTGATAAGCAAATTCTAGGCCTGTAGAAAAGTACCAGCAAACTTTCGCCAATTACATCCCTACTAACGATCAAAGAGGACCGCCTTTTCGGGAATCTGGAAGCGCGAACATTATGTGATACATATTGGATGAATTCCACAACATTACTCGGTCGTTATCACCATTGTTTCTTCATCGTTTTGGATGACACAACAACTTGGAGTTTCACTGGTGTAAACCCATAGTTTGTTTTAGGATTAGACTGGTACTGAGGATCGCGTACTGACAATTTACGGGTGAGTCAGTATACAACGGTTTTCCTCCCACTGGAAGAGACTTGCTCTCTGGACTGGTACTGAGGATCGCGTACTGACAATTTACGGGTGAGTCAGTATACAACGGTTTTCCTCCCACTGGAAGAGACTTTGCTCTCTGTCTCTTGAAGCGGTGGCTTTCCTCAGTTCAGTGAACCATATCCTTGCATTGGTGGACAAAGTACAAAATGCTCAAAAATTTACAAAATTTACGAAAAGTTTGCTCCAATACTCCCACCAGCTTTTATAAACATCTTCACACTATTCAACATGACGATTAGACACTGCTAAGCCACGTCGATCCCGAATGACTGAACATCGATTGAGATTCTCTTGGTGGCCTCCGTTGAATATTTCCTTTATTGTTCAGCCACGGAAATTGACCGATGAACAGACAGCGTATCCCACTGACAACTCCAGTTTTTGGCCAATCAGCAATCCACTTCGGCCTTCATCATAACCACAATTCAAATCAGCTGATCAATCAATATTTCGCCACGACCTGAGAACTGACAGTTCAGGCGAGTTTCATTCAGTTCTGTATTACAACAGATGTAAGTGCTGAATTACCTCCTACAGTGAGAAGCTGTCTGGACACACTCAGTTAAGCAACTCAAAGCAAACTCAAACTCAATTAAGCAAATCAAGGACAGAGAACGTTAACTTGCTTGCGACACTGGAAAAGCTGGTGCGATTCAAGATAGCGTTTTTGCCTCTTTCCTTTCATAAGATAATCGCCTAAATTTAAAATGAATTCAAATAAAGATAGGACGCCTTAATACTCAAACAGACATGAAGGTTGTTTGACTTAATGGTAATTTAGTTGCCACATGTAGCTGGGAGTTTCGCTGAGCCTTTCACATAAATAATCACTCTGGAGATATCCAAAAGAATGGTAATCTTTTGGAGAATACCTAATATACATGTGGAATGCGCCCTCCAATTTATTCTGGTGATAGAAACGTCAAATGGTCGCTTGGCTACCCTTGAGTAGTTCTACTCAGAAACGCAAATCGTAGCGCCCAAAACGTCTCAATTTCCTTCTCCGCAAAAGAACTTCTAGAATTGATGACAATCTTCCGGTGTACTTGTAGTGATTGTTTAATCATATCGATCGAGGCGTGTAGATATCGAATCAGTACACTAGTAAATGGCCTCAGATAAGCGATTACTTTTAAACGTTTCGGTACTTCTTGATAGCTGAGCTTATGTCCCTCGAAATGACAGCTTTCCATCGGGTTGTCTTTCCAAGAAAATAATTGAATAAGCGTAAAATCTCATTTCTCACTTTTAGGAACTACGAAGTGTGGACAGCGTCAATAGAAGCTAGCTTACACTTTATTCTTAGAGTGAGAATGACTGAGTAGGCTATCGGATAGTTCGCTTACACATGGCCTGAATGTAATATCACGCAACGTCAGAGTTCCTGTTCTCATCCCAACGAATGTCGAACCAAATCGGGCCTCGACACACCGAAGCTGATAACACCTACCGTTCATGTGGTTAGAACGCGAAACATGTATTCACAAAACCGAATTCACATACGGTGTTTCTTACCAGACGAATGATGCATTGGAAAACTGAACAAAAATACGAGTTTTCAGTTGGGCTTGTTTGGAGCAGTTAGAAAGCGCACGATTGATGTCCCATGTATGTTATTCAAAAATCACCGTCTGTACACCACCTGATCATGCGTCCGTTTGCTTAGCCCAAGTGAAATGATAGTACATGTAGGTTTACAATCAAGGTGATGTTCAAGTCATTCCCAAATCTTCCAGCCAATTTTTGCACTTTTCCTGGGATGTGCTAGTTTTTCGGCCAATATCGCTTTCGACATGGTGTGAGGTTGGATGAACGTTGAGTTCTGTTGGTTCCTCGGGCATGTCGTTGGGATAAGAATCTTGAGCTGCTTGATAAAGGTCGGGTAGGCTGACAGAGATCACAGGATTCTTAGATGAACTGAAAACACGATATAGGTCGACGGCCTCTGTCAGGGAGTCTGGATTCCATCCTAGTTCCTTGTGAAGAGTACACAAAGCAGGGACATAGTATCCACCAGTGACTTCACGTATATCCTCTGCTAATGTAAAGACATTGACGGCACCGATACTGACGTGTTTCTTGAGTAGATTCAAGTTTGTTGCTCTCTTCTTTCCTAACAGACCCAACTGACATACGAGACATCCGTGGCGCATTTGGTTCAAATCAACATTGCGCCTTACGACCATGGAGTTGGTTAGGCCTGTCTCAGTACAAAAGCTGAAATCGTCCTCCTCATCGTCCACCTGTCCACTCATTCGAGATAAACTTGGTGCGTGCACCAGCAGCGATACGGTTGATGCGCCCATTCCGCTGCTTCTAGACAAGCCATCACAAGGAATGCGTAAAAGGCTGGAGAGACAGCCTCCACTGTGTGCTGGGGATGGAAGATGTCTCGGCATATCTTTTGTGGGGACGCTTCCGGAAGTGCTCGACTCCTCAGTTTGTGCTGCGCTGCGTCTGGCTGCATGGGGACTGGCGGTGTTATACAGCAGTCGTTTACGGGGTAAAATCTCCGCCGGCCGCATGATAGCCGGAGTTGACTGATCACAGTGTTTCAAAGTTATATCGCTCACAGGCTTAAGTTCACGCTTCAAGGCCAATTGCGTGAGCGGTACATTCCGTGTTGCGGACATCATGCTCATCAATAGGTGTGTTCACTAACCGGAGACAAGAATGTGTTTGGTACCGCTGCCGGCTAGATGTCATTCTTTATGCACTACTGCTACACGCTCAACCAAATTCTTCTGCGGACCAGCTGGACCAATAGGCGTTCACATGGAATCCAATTGGATCGCAGTGACCTTGAGACAGTTGCGCGACGTGGTCGACAGACCTGGCTGTGACAAAGCAGTGCGCATGTCTCTAAGGCAGGCCTGAACAACAATCTTAGGAGGACAGGTACAAGGAAGGTAAAACACACTAGAATTTCACAAGAGAACATGATGCGGAAGGCTGTAAAACTTAGTATAAGTAATGACAAGCCAAAATTAGATGTAGGTGTGTGCGACGGGCCTCATAAGTGAGTTAGGTTAAATTCGCCAGCAATATTCCAGAATCCATTAGGTGAAATTTGTCCACTGAAATGTGGTCCGAGCCAGTGGTTATCCAGAGTGACCTATAACCAAGAATATATCCGAAATTCCCACCCAGCCGTCTGACACGACCATTGCAAAGAAGCCACTGTTTACTCTATAAAGACAATCTTTTGGCAAATATAGTCGATCACCGCCAACTTCGTTCCTTACAACGCATCCTTATTGCTGCAACTCTGTGGTTTTGGTTTTGTTAGTGCTCTAGTTGTGACGTAAGTAAGTGGATTATCAGAAGGTAACAAGTACTAAGAAATGTCTGTCTTACTAGAATGTGATGAATTCAATAGTTAGGTGCACTTGATAAAAATAGATACAATGCGAAAAGTGGAATAAGCCACAAAAGTGACTTACAGCTTGAGGACAACTGTTGAGATTTCCTGAGTGATGGGTTTGACAGGAGTAATAGTTTAGCTGCAGCACCCTCTCGACGCAAAAGCTTAAAGCACCCGAAGTTGCGCGATGGCCGAGACACTTGCAGATTACCTAAGTCCAGACTGCAACAATCGCGACACCGTCGTTGGTTTCGAATCAAGTTCGCTCCCTAACTGGCAAGCTGTATCGAACTCTGAGGAACGTTGGCACGGATGGATCAGCATAGAACTGTCGTCATGTACAGGGAAGTTTGACAGGATAGCCAATAGAATTTCATTTGAATCTCTGGTTCATAATATTCTACAGCTGAATGTGCTGCAAAAGAGACGACCTTCATGAACCACCACCAGTTCAGGTGTATTCTAAACAGAAGATTTAGATGAGTTTCAGGTAAGTCTCCCGTCAGCATCAATTTAAATTACAGATGAATATATGTACACTGTGAACAACGTACAATCTGCTGATCAAGTACAAAATAGGTGACTATACTTTGGGAACCAGACCAACCGATGTGCCAAAGGAAGGTCAAAATCGATAGTGCGTTATGTTTTGTTGTTCCGCGAACTTTAACAGACCCCGATTTACAAGCATCTTCACAGGACGTCAACTTTTCAGTATAAATCGTTGAGTAAACTGCATCTGGGGCCAATTTGAAAGGTATATGTTGAATCTTCCTGTTCCATGGATTTAGCCTTAGTTAACGTGCAGCAGGAGAGCGATGAAACCGGACACGTGATCAGTATGCTTGCAAGATACAGTGATGTCTTTTTCAACTGTAATGAAAGCAGAACGCAACTCCAGTTCAGTCCTCGATTCTGTCTACAGAAATCTGGCGGGGCTTCAAAGTACACTGATCGTAGTAGTACCCACTGATATAAAGCCTTCGTTAAAAGGGATTCGTGCAGTTATAGGCGTCAGTGTGGCTAGGCGGTATGGAAACGCGATTTCTTGACAAATAAGCCGCAGTGGCTTTGACCAGTCAGTTGAAGAATAGCATAAACGAAGAATTCAACTAGGCTTCAGTTTAGATTCTCCCGTTAAAACCAACCCATTCACAGCCATTTTCCAGTGAATTTCGGTCCTGATAACTCGGACTTATTCGTTCTCAGGAGGGTTTTAATATGGTTGCCCGTGGCCCACTGGGATTTACAATCAGTGCGTTCAGTTTTCTTCTCCCAAATGACTCACTTTTTTTGAACTGCTGGATGATAACTTGGCGATATCGTCACATCACATTTACAACGTTCTGATACCCTTCATGTCCTGCCACTTAATTTTTGGAGATGACGATGATGCAGAATCTCGTTCGTAAAGTGATGTGCTGAAGTGCCAAGAAACAGTATAGCTGCTTCATATCTGTTGGACATAAGCAGCAGTGCAAAGTTCACGAATCCCGAAGGATCATGAGGGTTGCTTGAATAGAAACCGTATGCCTCATATTAGGAACATTTCTATGTTCCCTCATTCGCCCAATCCATAACGAGAAGGCTTTGTTCCGAAACAGCTTTTTAAAAAGCCTACACAATAAAATGACCTTTACTGAGCGGTTTCTCTTTCTGATGAACTGTCAACATTCCGAGGCAGAAAAAATTAAGGCAACAGACCAGTTCCGTAAAAAGAGAAGCCAACATTGAGAAGCTGCTTTTGAGAAGTAGGCCCAAATTAATCATAAGATCTTGTAACATGTGTCCAGGATCACACTCTTCAGAAAAGCGAATGCGTGGAAAACCAGACGTACCAGAGACGTTATTAAATATTTGCGAAACTATTAAACACAAAAAAGAGTGACGAAAATGAATGTATTCAGGATCTCTTCTTCAGATCCATATATATCTGATGAATAAAATGGGAATAAACAGTGAAATAAGCCGCTTGGATTGGTTACTAAAGTAAAATTGGGAAATGTAGTCATTTGATTGTTGTAGAGATCAAAATCACATCTAATTAGCATACATTAGCTTAATATGCCTTTGAGCCGCTGAATCAAACGATGCACGTCATGTGACCAAGATGGCCGCGGTCGTCGCAGTAAGATTGTGAGATCAGGCTCTATGCCATGAGAAATAATTCGTAAGAACACTGAGTCCGCTTTGGTCACGTGTGGCGTCCAGAACATCATTCGTCGACCCATCAGATAACATTCCGGTTGTACAAAAGACCAGTGCATACATTATCTCCTTTTTCATTTACCAACCAAATTTAGCGGCTTCCTTTATTGATTGTTTGTATCGTAACATAAGACATGCGCTGATGAGATACCAAGAAACGTTAAATTCCGTTAACGTATTTACTTGATACCATATGCTTACCATCAGAACCGAAATTCTGTGCTATTTTTCTCAGGTTCTTGGCAAAGATCTGCTGTTTTCTAACAATGACACCTTGAAAGAAATTTTAGGTTTCTTTCTACGGAGCCTAGTAAAACCATAGCGAACATCGAAGAACATCCAGAGTATCTGAAGGGCTTTGAAGAATCCACCAGTGTGGTAAAGCGCTTAACAATGAGTCAAGGATAGCTTATCTGCAGCGCAATAATTGGGGGAGCTCAAATGACCCTCCTACTCAACATGTTGCCGTGTGCGCTCTCCTAGTGGACATACTACTCAAGTATGGTTAGTAATATATGCCGCCCAACAACCCAGGAAACAAAAAAGACAACGCGGTGATTCAGGCGTATCACACTCAACAGCAACTCAAACCGTTTCATACGAAATAGTACTAACGGTCTTTCTTTTTGCTTCTGCGTGACAGAATCCAAGCATAGCACAGGGGGATGAAATAACTGGGTTGGAAAACATTTGATGCAGACCATCCCAAACTAACGTTCAATCAATTACTGGTGACAGGTTTACAATGGTGGCCTGTCAGAAAAACAATCCAACAGGATTCAAAACTTGAATCTGTTTATAAACTGAACACTAGTCAACCGATCAGTCTATCCAGCTACAACCAATTTATCTACTGTATTTCCAGTTCTTTGTCGAACGCACTGAGTTCAGACAAACTGACCATTGCTTGCATTCAAGTAGCACTTATTACATTATTTGAAATTATCACCGAACAAAAGGTAGAGGTTTTTAAAAAACAGCTCTCCACCAGTGAAAAGCATGAGAACACTGATTTTCTGTATTATTCCTGCCTTCTCTGATACGATCCCCACAGTGTGCTTGTGTGTGTATCTTGGATACAATCGCTTACGATATAATGGAACCGAAACAGTGCGAGTTCATTTTGTCTCATCGTAGACCACATCAATAGGACTCGAGTTGTTCACATTTCTACAGTTTTAGACTTATGTATATTCATATTTGAATCGGTCTGTGGTAAATTTGGAGGGACTGGGTATTCTAAGCACTGCTCAACATTTGACTATTTGCTTAAATTAGCGTAGTGATCTGCAAACTCATATTCTCTTCTGGTCGAAATAAAGAGAGGAAATTTATCCCGAGAGTTCAATAAAATAACAATAATCATGATATTAATCGTCGGGGTGTAAAGTCCTTTTGGCGCGAGGACCGAGATAATCCTAGGTTGCTTAAGCGTAGACTGAAGCAGTTGAGATGCTGGGGACGGGCTCGAACCGTGGACCCTGTAGTCAGTGAGCTCACGTCTTATACTAGGGAAAAGAAGAAGGCCTTCGCTGCGGAGTTATTTATTAGGAGATGTCAACTGGCCGGTTACAGACCATTGGACAGAGAAACAAAACTCTAATTTGCGTCTTATATACAAAAACTGGACATCCAGCTTCTCCTGAACGTGTCTTCTTGAACTTTCCTGGAGATTCATCATTCGTCGGTGAAATCCAAGCAAATGTTACAAAGTGACTCCACGAATTCCGCAACAGATCTCCCCTTTTCAAAAGACGCAAAGCGAAATTCTACGAACAACACATACTACTAGCGTGCCTCCCCACCAGTAGTATCACCGTTACACTAGTATCTATCTCACTGAAACTCATAGACAGTCTAAGTGTAACAATTAAGTGCGGCGGGAAAATGGGCGAAAAGGAACGTTGTTTCCACAGCCACACATTGGTACTAGAATTCTTACTTTAGCTTGATCTTCTGAAGGCAAAACGCATTGTTGATGGCAGTGAGTGGGGATTACTTGGTAAGCTGGACCAAAACCAAAACACCTTTGGACGATCTACCGAAAACCATCAAGATGAATTAAGTTAGATATTTGTAATTAAATCCCCAAGGTCTTCTGTCGAAGAAAAATTACTGTGAGATATATTTGCTTTATTTGTTCCGACGTAACTGCAGTAGAAAGAATAACGTCCCTTTCTTACGCAGTGTTCCTAGAAAGATTACTTTCGGAACAGATTTTATCACCAATAGCAAGGCTCGGCTTTCGGCCTTCAGCGGTTAACTCCATTCTTCAGAAAGTGGCAAACTGAAAGAGTAATCGCGGCCTTTACCCGGTTGAAGTGCCTCGTGCTCTTATGATGCAGTTTGAGTTGTGTCGCTGATGCTTCACAAAAAGGAAAAACACCGATATTGACTCCGCCCATGGTAAAACGCTAAAATTTATGCCGGAACAGTGGCCGTTGGTCCGGATGTACAGACGACTCAGTACACTACTTATAATATTGCTGAAGTTCCTTCGATAGCCCACGACCAGTTTCGCCCTTCTTTGTGCTCATCAGGTAGGCGCAGTCCCCGAGTTTCCGACAACCCAAATTGCACAAAATTAGCGAAATACACTAGTTTGGTTTTGCGAAAGACCCACCTTCAAACCCAGCTGAATACCTCGTTTATGATGTTTTCAAGCGAATAAATGTGCTGTGCCAGGCTGCCTAAGGTTTCGCTCGTGGGCTGTCAAAGAATCTTCAACAACCTTATAAGTAGTGTAGTACTCTGTACACGCATTGCGATAGTTCGAATATCGTGGCCTGGCGCAGCACGTTCAATTGCTTGAACGCGTCATACACAAGAAATGCAGTTGTATTCTAGATGAGTCTCTCGCAAATCCGAATTTATTCGTAACTGGGTGTATTTCGCCTCTACCAACAGGAAAAGTGTGCTTCGATAGAGAAATGACAATACGTTGAAATTTTCCGTGTCAAAGTGCCTAAAAAGAGAAAGCCCTTATCTGTAACAGAATAAACAAAAAAGTCAGTTTGTACATGAAGGCAGTGTGGCTTGCAAAGAGCAGGTGAAGCAGCTTTAGAACAAGGGACTCGGCCTGGCAAACAGAAATGTGCGCTTACTTCCCGAAACCTGTTGCATAGTATCAGTCTAATCTTCTTTCTTCCAACTTCTGTCTTAGCTCTTCAGCTTGTCAATCCGGTACTTGATCAGCATATCCAAGAGTAACTTTGCCTACAAGTGAATTTACTTGACACTAACCTGAAATCTGAGTAGTTCGTCAATTATCAGACAGCTGGCTTTCCCATGCAACCTTTGGGGGTCAACAGCACACTATCCCTCAGCAGTTTACTGCACAGTACGTTGATATTCTCACCTCTAAACATTGCAGAACAGCTAAAAATATGGATTCCAAATGCTCAAGTTTGTGCAGCTAATAAATCCCGAGTGCCTGTATTAGATTTTGAAGTCCACTTTAATTTTTCTATTACATATAGGGTTTACTGAGAACAACCTATTGGTGAATAAAGAACGAAGATGGAACCAAAATACGCACTACGTAAGACTTATGCACAACCTCGAGCGGGTTTCTTAAAATCAGAGGCCAACGTCTTCGACAAAAGTCTGACGATTTCAGCAAGCTCAGCAGCGAGTTCGAAAAGATGCCAAAAGCTTCCCCCAAAACTACTCCGTCTGCTTTCACTCCTGGAGAAGAGAGCCGATTTCCTAATGGAACATTTCTGCTCATTGACTGGTACCCTGGACTTCTAGGAGAACAAACTATGCGACATATACCCAAAACCTGGAGACCACGCTTTCATTTATCCTCCGCGTAACGCCGGAGAAGTCTGGATGGTTGTTATCTGGGTTTTGGAGAATGTGTCCGAAACAAGGCCTTTGAATCAATTTCAAAAAAGGTTGAACATTGCAGATGTCAATAGACACTTTGTCTGTGCACCAACATTTGTTGTAAGTACCGGCGGTTAGGTACATATCGGGTCTTCAAACACGGTCTAATCGGAGTGGCTAGATTTTACAGGCAAATGCATCTTTGTGTCAGATGGTGAAACTGTACACACGCAGGTGTGATCCAAAGCAAATTTACAATCAGCTTCATAGAGCTGTTTACAAATCGTCTGGCGTTCTTAATTTCACATTAAACTTAGCTGTTTTGCAGGAGGAAGTATTTTAAATACCGGATTGAAGTCAATAAAGCAAGCAAAGGCTGGTTGCCAAAAATTAGCATAGCTTGATATTGTACGTCCGGCTCTGACTCGTTCCAAATAGCTGTCTTTCCAAAAACTCACAGCACCTTTAGCGATTCCTCCATCGATAAAAGAATCAAGAAGGGCACCACGTCAAATGCTTTCAACAGCCACAGTACGTGCCAGACAATTCAGGAACAAAAACCACTTTTTGGGAATTCTAAAAGCTCGCAAGTTTCAAGTGAGGCATACCGACCAGCGTGAGCGCGACGTCTCGTTCGGATCCCTTCGTGAACGAAGACCCTGCTTACAATATGTGAGCAACCAAGCTTAATGAAATGTCAACATGAGAGGTGCGACAACATAATGATGAGTTTAAAGACATAATCAGAATACCTCTGCAAGTAATCTCAAATCCAAAATGTGTTCATTCCCTTACACGCAACCTATACACAGGAAACAGAAACTAAGAAAGCATGAGTAAAGCACGAGTAAAATAACAACAGTAACTCCATGTTTGGCCGTAATCAGTGCTTCACCAAACAACCGCTAGGATGGCACACATTCAGTTCCTAAAATTACCACCACATTGCCACGAACTTCTTGTCAACCCATCCTAAACATTTGTTGATTTTATGACCCGAAATCGCATTTCTCAGTTGTAAATTTTGTGATTTTCAGTTAGAACTCGAATGTTCAGCATATAACATTTATTTGTGCGTTCGCTTATTCGTACCGGTCATCCTTTGTGATGCTTTACGCTGGGTTGAGGAGTCGCAACTTATGAGATTAATTCTAAATTACGGATCAATTGAAAAAGCGCTCAGTGTTGCTTGAAAAAGGATTTCACACAGATACCAATGAAATCTTCACTCATGTCCTTGTGGACAAAACCGGGACCGTCCAAATACAGTTTGACTCATCTATATAGTCACCTGGAGCTAAACTTTCATTACGCCGGACTGTCCAATGAAAACGACCGCGGTCCCATTTTTCGAGTTCTGCGGATTTTGCAAGCAACTTCACTACACGCCGAAGTTGACCAGTCACGCAGATTGTCTAGGTATGAGCTTATCAGACTGCTGATCAGCTGTTGAAACTATAAGCCGGTAGATCGCGGGTTGGAGATTTCCTGGAATTTTGTGACATACGCGCTACTGACTATTCCCAATAATGATGAAGCAGCTGTAAAGCTCTTCTCAGTTTCTCAGCATAGACTGGCTTCACTTGTAGGATAAAATCTTCATCAAACTTTCCAAATCTCCCCACACTAGCAACATTCAAAGGTGTATTTTTTTAAAGTTCCGCCCTGAAGAGCACAGTCAAGCTTATTCCGTTCCGGTCTGTGTTGCATGAAAGCATTTACGAGAAGTGAGCATTCCGGTTCACGTGTCATCATCATCATCATCATCTTCATCATCATCAGCATCATCATCATCATCAGCATCATCATCATCATCATCATCATC